TTGACATTCTTCTGCATATAGAAACATAGCAAAATTACTGGTGTTCAGCCAGCCCTCTCCTTAACTTTAGTCCACAGGCTTTTGGACAGGGAACATGCAATCAAGAACAGCTTTTTGACATCAATATGTTTCCATTCTCTTTAGATCCCATAAATGTCCCTGAGCTTCACCTCTTTAGTCTCCTTCCCTCCCACCCTTCTGAACCACAGAAGCGGTTTCTTGCCAGTCTCTCACAAAACAGCTCTCTAAGAGATGAATCATTTGGTTGGCTGTCCTGTGTATTTTGGATCCTGTCTCTCTGCCTTCCTTTAATATAGTGACCAGATTTGCACACAGACTTCCAACAGAGGCCATCCAGCTGCCTTTCTGGATGCCAAAGTAATAATGCCTGTGGGTTTATATGCCATACGTCTTCATACATGTCCCTAGATCTTGTTTGCCTTTTCTAAAGCTGCCAGATGTTGCTTGGATGATTTTCCAAGCATGTGGTACTGAAAGTACCATGCCAGTGATTTTTTAAAACAAATTTAAGCAATGGTTAATTCAGCGAACTCTTCAAACTAAATGTGAGCTTTCCATGATGACCCCCCCTCTTTTTGAAACAGGAAAAGGTGTTTCAAAAGGGCAAGTTGGGATCTCTCCGTGTGTGTGTGTGTACATACGTGTGGAGCAGTGTTGTGTTGGTGGAGAGGAATCTTTTCCCTGCTCACCACTTTTCCCTGCTCACCACTTTCCAACTTTCTCTCACAAGGAATACTTTCTTTCTCCCTGGTTTTCAGAGATATATTTGCAGATGTTTTTGGAGCTCCACAAAGATAAAAACTGCCGGAGGCTGAACTGAAGTGAGAAAATGCCTAGTGGAGAATAAAACTGCTCCCTATATACCTTCAGTCCTGCTTTTCTCTTCAGAAGTGGTTTTCCCTGTTTAAAAAGGGCTATTGCTATAATGCTACAGCAAGCATCTGCATGTAACATACAGCTTATTACATCTTATTTTCTGTCTTCTCTGCTTTCCTATTTCAGGTGTTAATTTTACAGTGCTATCCTAGCCATGTTTTTCAGAAGTACGCCTGCTACATTTTGTGGTATCTCATCACAGGAAAGTTATTAGCAGGCTTGGAGCCCTCTTTCCATTTTCTTGATGTGAGAGGATGTGGCTTTTTCCTGGGTTTTGCATTTTCTCTGTCTTCGTTACATTGTAGTTTGGAACTGCATAGGTGGTGCTGCACAATCACTGAATTACAGGCACCTTTATTTCAGCTTGTCCTACCTTCAAAATGGATGACCTCATTATGTCATGAGCGGAGCTAGCTGAAGCTGGGGGTCAGACTAGATGGCCCGGAGACCCCTTCTGACTTGCTCATTTTCTATGTTTCTGTTATCTTGCCCGTAAGAAAAGGCTGTGAAAGTGGCTACACAACAGGGAGTTGCTCCCAGAGGATGACAATATCCTGTACAGAATCTGCTTTGTAACTTCTGTGAGTGAAGGACCATGGATTACATGATAAATAGCTTGTGCAGAGAAACCTGTTAGTTCTTGCTAAAAATGCTATGCAGGTGATCATTGAGAGTGGCAGTTTTCTGTCTGATTAATGGGTGCAGTTTACACAACATTTTGAGATCTCGTTACTTTCTCTCTTTGTTTTGCATAAAATATTATTTGCATGATTAGCATGGGCAGATGTCCCATAGTATCCCTCTTCCTGGCCATAATTTTCTACCCTTCCAACTCTTAATCTATACAGAACCTTGTTAATGAGCAGTCCAGTCCTATGGTTTAATTATGCTGAATTGCTTGTGATAAATTAAATTATACTAGTATCAGTACTTAAGATCATATGTATTTCCAGCAGCAAAGGAGAAAGCAACCTAATACAATGCGAAACATGACTATTGAAGTAGCCTCCCCATAGCATTCCTGGCAATTTCTGAACAAACCAACAATTACAGTGATACCACTTGTGTGGTACCCAGGGAAGGGAGGTGTCCAATAATATTTATTTATTTATTTATTTATTTATTTATTTATTTAAAAGATTTCTACGCTGCCCCCATCGCAACAAAGCCTCGGGGTGGCCCACAACAAAAACATACAAAATCATACAAAAATTATACACTAAAAATATTAAAACCCGGTGCATCTCGGCTTCATTTTTTTTTAAATCCTACATAATAAATTAACACTTAAAATAAGTTTTAAATAAAAAGGTCTTAGCCTGGTGTGGCGTTCACAATAACCAGAACACCAGAATGGTGTTGCAGAATCTGTTGCTGCTCACAATCCATCAGAAAAAGATAGCATGACATTTTCGCCAGGGACTCCATGGCCCAGTGGTATGGATGCTTGCATATAGAACCCAGAGGCTTCACAATAGAAAGGCTCTATAAGGAGCCCATTAATTACCTGAAAAAGTTCCACTGGATGACATTATGCACACACAATGGTGGCAAAGAAGCAATATTTCTTCATTGTCATCACAGAGTTAAGTCCAAAGTTGGATTTTCACTTGTATTTGGCTGTGCTTACAGGGAGTTTACTACCATTCACATTCTAGCTGTTGACCCAACCACTGCATTGTTTTCAGCTCCTCAGGATATCAAGGAGCTAATGCAGGCCAGCCATTTGTTAAGGACATTTGGGAACAATTGTATTGCTAGTCCAGAGCACCTCCATTCTGGACAGAGATCTGAGTTTCAGTAGGATCACTAGCTAAGCCTGCAGGAAACACCTCCCCACAACTCAAGACATCATTGAACTTTTGACATGAATGACCATCTTGGGTTTTCTACCCCTGTGGAGGATACAAGATTACCTAACTTAATCACATCATGAACTGTCCATGTCAGTGGAGCCATGTAAGGCTCTACTACATGCAAATACTCTTCCCATATTCCTACAAAGAAGATCAGCTCTAAAGTATGCCCTGTCCCATGTGTTTGCCCAGTATTACTTGAGACAGGACCGTGAAATCCCAAGCCACTCCTGACAAAGTGATCTCAGCATAAATATTCCCAGAGGCAGCTGGTTGAACAGGATGTTAGACTAGACTGAGCCTTGGTCTCATGTAGCTTGGATCTACTTATGAATTTACATTGAAATTGTGTAAGGCTGTCAGTATTGGAGTTTTCAACATTTGTGCAGAGACCAGCTTTTTTAGCTTGTGTGGGAGACTGTTGGGCAGAAGCTTGGAAGGTGCACTAACAGAATCCCTTTCCTGTCTCAGGTTCTCATTACAAAGGACAGACACTGAAATCCAGTAAGCGATGGGTTGGGGTAGCTACCTGTGATGATACAGTCCTTATATATGAAAGCTACATCTCCTCCTCACCTCTCGCACCTTGATTGCTTTTGCACCCAGTACCTTGGGTCTACACCATTCAGGCTGCTCGTGACTACACAGGCAGGGTTGGCATGCACTTCCTCAAGGAGATTGCTGACAGTAGATACTTTCCTAGTCACCAAGCTAGCATTCATTAGCTGTACTTTCAGAGCTTGAGGGTCCTGAAGTCAAGCTGCCAGGATTAATGAGGTTGGAGGACAAGCCAGAAGAGATAGCACAGAGATACTTGAATGTTGTGCTATATGGAAGGGGTCTGAGAAACTACTAGAAATGTCTATCTGCCTTTCTTATCTTTCTTGTCTGCCTTGGCTGATCACTGTTTGTGTAATATGCTTCCTTTGTGCTAAGTGCTCTTTCAGTAACTTCTCCATCACCAGTGTTTTCACTTATGTGCCTAGATGACTCATGATATGTAGTCTGTGTTCTCTTGCTGGGGATTCCGTGTTTCCATTGGCGTGACATAACTGATTACAAGGATCATCAGAGTCCTGTCCTTCATTATAGCCAAGTGGGGAAAGAGATGAAGGTCCAGTTGTCTGGGATTTTCCATTGACTCTGAAGTTTTCAGCGAGTAATATCTTTTTACAGTTATACTGCTTTGCCAACAATGATGGAGTGAGCATAGGATTCCAATCTAGTTTTCAATCCTCTCTGCTATGCTTCCCACCCCAACTTTGGCAGTTCCTCTCCTTGTGTTGGTAGAGGCCCACTGGGGATAGGGGTTATGTCAGTGGTATTTTGTATTCTGGAAGCATATAGGCACTTGGGAGCTGATCTGATAATTTATTCTTGCTAAATCTGGTGCCATAATCCAGGAAATGTGTAGTCCCATTTCAAGCTTCTCATGCTTTAGCAAACTGGATCAAATTATTTGACATGAGGAAGTGTATGAATTCAGTGTCCAAGCCTATAATTTTTTGAAGGTTGGAATGCAGTTATCTTGGATAAGTAAAGATTTGTCTCTGAGCAACAAGAGACAAAACTAACCCTAAGATGAATACACATATACATACAGTATTAATCATCTGAGAATGTTAGATTCATTATCCACATATTATCTGAGAATTGATCATTAATCTGAGAATGGAGGAAATATTCTAGATCTTTTGTGGAGACATGAAATGTTAAGTATAAATATAAGGTGACAGTGACTTCTTCTTCCTGTCTCCTCAAAAAATCACAATGGGGTCATCTGTTTGCACCCTCCCCACTCCCAAGAATGCTCCTGGGAACAGTGTAATATAATTTTGTTCCCAGGTTCATTCTGTCCCAGGAAGCAGTGTAACCATTTTGGTTTTTTTGGCCAACTCATATTTAAAGGTAAAATGCTTGCCCTTTAAATTTCTTTGAACTATTGGCACCTTGTATTTAAAAGTAACATTACCTTCTCTCCCATTTCTTAGAATGTTGCCCACCTCCCAATTTTTGGAGGCATTTTTGCTTTACCCATATTACATAAAATTTAGCTGGACTGAATGTTTTGGTCCAGCACTAGACAAAACTGAAATGAAATGGAAGAGGAGCCATGAAACACCCTAAAAATAACTGGATGTTAGTAGCAAAACTTAAAAGAGGAAGTTGTTTGCCTAGGCTGAGTGATGGGCGAATGATTAGCTTTGGACTCAGGGTTTTCTCTCTGTCCTCCACTTTCTGTTGCAGACCTGCTGACAGCCAAGGAATACCACTGCCTACTGCAGTTGCTTTGCCCTGACTTTCCCATGGAGCTTACTCAGAAAGCAGCGAGGTGAGTCTTTCTAAGAGTTAGATAACAGCTTTGGGAAATCGATAAGCAAAGAACAAGTTCTTGGCTAGCTGCAGCCGGCTGTGTGAATAAAGAGGTGCATTTTAAAATAGTTGAGCAACAGATTTCACATGGAAAATGTTTTTAACAATGCATATGCTGTTGCATCGGGTTTGCTAGTTTAATCAAGAACCATTTAATATAGCATTAGATTGGGCTTATGAATTTCAAATCCTATGAACCCATGGGCTAACCTTAACTGCATAAAGGCTCAATCCTATTCCTGTTTAGTCAGAAAAAAGTTGTAGGGGCTGGATAATGCTGGAAGTTGTGGAAGTTTTTTTTGTCTAAGCATGCATAGGATCACATTCCTACTCACGTTGCAACTCTCTTCTGCAAAGAGAGATTAATAGTGACCAACCTCAAAAGATGGTTGCAAGGTTGAATGTGAAAATGTCTCATGAATCATGCACATCACTGGTTCATGCTCTCCACAGACTGGGCTATAAATCTAAATGCATGTATTTGAGATGAGACAGAATGATAATGATGATGGTGTCAAGGAATTTAATCTGTGAGACCTGTGTAAACCTGAGGCCCTGTTGAGGGATGGCCTTCGTACAACTCCTCTGTTATGTGTGTGTGCCCTGGAGACAGACAAACTGGGGGCTTTGGGACAGCAGGTGTGAGAGAAAAATGTGATCTGTGTCTTTGGGGCATCCACACTCAGTTGGGGATGATCTCACTGCCTTTATGCTTCCCAGGTTGAGCAGTTCCTTGAGTTCAAATGTTGCTCTCACCCACTAAGCTGTCAAGTGAGGTTACTTGATACTACCTTAAATCTGAAGCTGTCTTCCTTTCCCTCATCTGCACCTTCTGATACCCTTATCTGCATTCCCTCCACCTTACTGTATTCATACATCTCCGCTTTTCTCTGTGAAGCCCCATTTCATCTTGCTCAATGGCCTATTAGTTTTACCAGCTGGAGAAAGACAAACCCGAGCAGATCACTTTTCTATGCAACTGCTGCTTTGTGTTCAGTTCCACAAGCAGTCTGCGCTCATCGCATACTTTGCCAGAGTCCTCTGACAGCTGTAGAGTTGCTTTTGGAGCGGACTGTAACTGATGGTTACCACCACTCAATGGCAGTACCTACGGATAAGCCTTGGGGTATGATTTCATTCATAAGCCACTGCGTCTTTCGGTAACCTTGAAGCTGCATGACTGAGATGATTTCACAGTGCAGCTTGCTCTTTCAGAGGCTGTTGCTATGTGCTGATAACAAACACTAGGAATGAAAGAGATCATGCAATATTAGGGCAGAGGCATCAGCAGTGCAGAAGGAAGCCAGATGTCCAAACTACGTATGATGGTAGCAGACCTGCCTCTTTATGTGAGCTTGCCCCATTCATGTGCAAAGCAAGGGGAGGGATGGAGTGTGAGTTAAAGAACCAAGGGTGTGTGACTGGAAGATTCTGAACCCTCTGGCTACTGCTTTATCCCCAAAGTCTGTCCTTCCAGATACTTGCAGTCATGTTCTAATACAGGAGGCAAGCCTAGTTGAAGAAAAGCATCTGAGAGAAGGGTTTAGCAATCTTCCCCACATTCCATTTTGGCTTTGTAAATTACATTTTACCTACTTTATATATGCATGAGTAGATCCTTGTTTACAGACACTCGTGTTGCAATCATGTACCATTTGGGCCTCAATTCGGGAGAAGTGGGCTAGTTGCCACAAGTACCACTGAATTCACAGGTAGTTTGAAGTCTTTTATCTTTGACTTTGCTGTGTGGCTGATATCTGATTTTATTTGTGGGGTAAGAAAGAGGAAGATTTTTCATCTAGAAGCAAAATTTTACAAGATAACAGAAGTACATGCATGGTACATGGTGTGTGCATGTGTGTGCATGTGTGTATAAAACAAAGGTTTGTTATTCCTTGTTAATATTAAACAATATTATTACTAAAGTTTTTTTTACTGCTAATACTAAACACTCTCTGAGGTGGCTTACTAGACCCCCAGCTACTTAACAAAGGTGATCAGAAAAAACATGACATGTGAACATAGATGTGACATAATCACTGACTGATCAAATGTTGTTTGAAGAGAAGTGAACACTTTGGATCCAATGCTTTAAAAGAGGTGTGATATGTCCCACCCACAAGTTATCTTCAACCTTAAGAAGTCAGGCTTACCAAAAGAATGGGGAAGGGAAGTTCACTTAATACTTTGTAGCTTCTACATTAGTAGCGAAAATTTATGAATAGCTATGGGACTTGTCCTGGAATCTATTGGAAGAACTAAGCAGGTTTTAGCTTTTTCAGTAAGGTTCAGAACTGAGCTGCAATATAAGTGTAGACATCATCTGATTAGTGACACCATCACCAGAAGCTTGTTGGAGTATCATATAATAGTCTGTGTCTGTGATACTTTTCAGATGATCAAGTTAGAGAGAAAGGTGAAATCAGAGGGGATAGGATTTAATAAAAGACTGGAAAGGATTGAGAAATATTAGGATGAATAAAATGTTTGATCTACAGCATGATTTATTTTCAGCATAAGAACATTATACCCATACTAGATCAGAGCAAAGGCCCATCTGATCCAGCATTTCCCTCACAGTTCTTTTCATTATACTCTGTTTTTGTCATGCCCCCTCTATCAGGTTTCCCCATTCCCACATCTTTGCTTAGGAAGCTTCTTGCATTAGCATATAAACACCTATGCACAGTGTCCGGCTCCAAATGTCTGTAGTTGCGCATTTCCCCTCTGGCTCTTTGGCACTTCTGACTGGCTGCATTTTACTGGCTATGTTCTCATAGCCTATTTCTACACAGTCTCTATTTGGGCAATCAAAAATATTTTTATTTCCCTATCCAAGGATGATTAATCCTGGGCTGGACTTCCTTTAGCTCTTGTTGGCTTTTCCCAAAAGGTCCATATGAAAGTTGCTTTGTCACCTTTTTAATGTTAAACGCCAGCATGGTTCAAGTGGCCACATTCCTTTTGTAACGACATCTCTTCCATGCGTGAAACCCTTTAGCTTTGTCTCTCTAGCTGGACCACTGTGTGCAACAGGTAGCATTTCAGAAAAAGCTACCTTCAGGTGTAATTTAGTGAAACTGTAGTGCTTTGGAGTGGGAGAGAGGAAGGCTGAGGCACTGTCAAGGCACATTGTAGCTTGGTGGCATGGCCTCCCAGTGTGTCCTCTAAACCATTTTTCTAAGGTTGTTCTTCCAGCATTGGAAATGTAGCTGGCACGGTTCTTCCATGACAGCTGTTAGCTGCAGAAAGCACTCCAAGTTCAGATCCCCAGCACTGAGGCCAGGAGTGTTTTTTTTTTAAACTTTGGAGCAAGGAGCCTAAATGAGCTTATGGTCTTCTAGACCACTAGAGTGTTTGGCTTCTAGGACCTCACAACTGTATTTCCTGATGTCATTTGCATTAGTGTGCACTGTGACTGCTGGCTCTACCTGACCAGCTAGATGAGGCAAACATCCACAGCCTTGGCACCAGGCAAGCAATTCAGTACGTGGCCTGCACACCTGTGAAAGACCCAGCTTTCTGTGTCTCTAATGATCAGGTCACCTGCTAAGATAAATCCTTCCGCTGCAGGGTCTCTGGGAGGCATATACTTGGTGTAAGAAGCCTTCCCCAACCTGGTGGCCTTCAGAGGCATTCGGGCTGCAACTCTCAGAATTCCCTTCTAGCAGGGCCATTGATGGGGAATTCTGGATGTTGCAGTCTAAACATGTCTGGAGGGTAGACGGTTGGGGAGGGTGGTTTAAGAGAATATCTGTTGATCCTGGAAAGAGGTAGCTTGTCTTAAAGGTCCCATCCTGTAGCTACTCAGTTATCCCTTTCTAATTGTGTTTTTTAGTTTTTATTATTAGACTCTTTTATTAAATGAGTGCTTCATGATATGCTAGGCATCATGTTGATATATAAAGCACGGGTCCTTGATCCTTTTTTTCATTTGTGACCTGTTTTCCTCTTAGTTGGAACAGAGAAAATCCACCCTTCAAATGGAAAAGGCATTTATGTATGCATTTTTTTAAAATGTTCATTCATCTCTGTATTGACAAGCATGAAAGTACATTTTTTAAAGTGTGTTTGAAAGTGTGCATTTTGCAGAAGACATTTTCCAAATACACTTGCAAGTACTGGAATGTGCAAGTCTTTCCCAGTCCCCTTTGGAGTTGTGAGTGTGGCAAGTTGATGATATATGACCTGAAATGAAATCCTTGTACATCCCTAACATAGTCCTCATCTCAGAAGGGGTCACTCTGCCGTCTACTTTTTTGAACTAACTCTTCCTCCAGGGGCAGAAATGCACTGACAAGCGCTTTCAAGCCTCTCCTTTGATGCCTTGCTTTACTGGGGGCTGATGGAGGGGCAGAGAAAGGGACAGAGATTTCAGGCAGTGATGTGGCCTGTAGCATTTCCAAGGCTTTCGGATGCCAGCAACTGTGCTATATTGCCTGGGAGATGGAAGATGCTCTGCCTGCCAGCTTCAAAGTCATCTCCTTGATGTGGCCACTGACAATCTCTGTAACGTGCTTATTAGTGGGAATTAAGGACTGGAGCTGTTGCTGCTCTAGACAGCAGCAGCAGGAGGAGGTTTCTGGGACATAATAAATAAAACAGAAGCACTTTGACATCTTCAAAGGGTTTTGTTTTAAATAGTGGCTTTTCTCCTGGGGACCCTCTTAGCCTTAGTCTTTCTTCTTTGCAATAATTAATTCAAGCTGCTCTGCATGCTTGAATTTGCCTCACTGAATTGAGCTGCTCCAAGTGGTGGGGAGGGAAGCCTCTCCCAGAGATACGTCCTGTAGTTCTTCTGTCTCTTCCTCCTGCTGCACAGTTTTCTCAAGCCTCTTCTGTAAGCTGTAGTGACCCAGGGACAAACAGTATCTGTGTGAGTACAAGGGAATCATAGTGCCAGCCGCCCCCAATAAAGTGAATTCCTGCTTTGGACTTCACAGCTCATATCCCAGGGCAGATAATGGAAACTTTTTGCCATAGTGATGCTTATGTAGGTAAGATGGATTTAAAGCCTCTAGTTCTCTCTGTGTTTTATACCAGACAAAGCAAATGCAGGCAGATATGCAAATAGATAGGTATGCAGCCTGTGATGGAGCCTGCACAGGAACTCTGTACTCAAACCCAGCCCTTTTGTGCATATTATGGATATGTGTGTGCATAGGAATCCATGTGGACAAAAAGGAGCAATGGGCAATCAGACTCTGTAGGCAAGTGAATTCCCAGCATAAATGTGGCTGGTAGCTCCAGTAGGAAGCAAGGAGAAAAGAAACTAGTAAAACTCTGCTGAGAAGTCTCAGGGCAGCCTTCTTATGAGACAAACACAGGGCTCCAAACTCCCTGCTTGCCTCATAACCCTAATGCATGTTCAGAGAAGTCTTTGCAGGGGAAGATCAGAGGTGTGGGTATGTGTGCGGTGCTCAGTCATGCCCTGAGCCTCTCCTCCAGATGACCTCCACCACCCACTTACTCACACACGTGTGCAAGCATGTTTTACCTGAGACAATGCTGGAACTCTGTGTTTGATTCATAAAGTATTGTTCCAGGATGTGCTCCTTGTAGGGGAATGAGGAGCCACAAGACTGGGAAAACCATCACAATGGCTGAAGTAGGTCAGGTCATATTAGGGCACCTGGTATTGGGTTTAATATCAAGGGCTTCTCTATGTGAGACATTCACCCTACCACTTTCCCATTGTCTTTGCTGGGGTAAGAACTGCCTTGGTCACACATGTTTTCCCTCAGGTTTTTTCCCTCAGGTTTTCTATTTACTCAATTTCACAAGCACAAGGTGGAACTGAGATATAGCAGAACTTTGAATTTACACAGGCATTTCCTAGTGTTTTCTCTCTACACAAGAAAGTACTAGCTCATTATCCTTATTCTTTAAAAAAAAGATGCACCATTGGATGCTAAACAAGGGAAAAACCCTGGAGGATGATGACATTATATATAGGACCCAGAAATTATTGCAAAGAAGAAACTATGAGTGAAGAATCAAAAGGGCACAGTGAAGAAGTTCACAGTGCTGCTTCTGGTGGTATCATCATCTGTCATCATCATCACCACTGCATTTATACCCCACTTTTCTTCCTTTTGCAAGTAACCCAAGGCAGGTTAGAAGGCTCTCCCCATCTCCATTTCACCCTCACAACAACAACCCTTGAGAGCCTGTGACTAGCTCAAAGTCACCCAACAGGCAACATGGCTGAGTGGGGACTAGAACCTCGATCTTCCAAATCCCCAATCCAGACTCTAACCACTAAACTATACTGGCTCTGAAGACTGTATATGTGTGAGACTTTAGTTTCAATTTGCAAATCATCAGAACTTGTACTGTTCAAAACCCAAAATACAGGTGTGGACAGGAATGCAATTTCTCAAGAAGAACTACACTTTTCTAAACTTGACACATTTGAAAAATACATTTTTAATGCACACTTCCATACTTTAGTCGATAGAGGAGAAGGAAATAATGCATTTGTTTTTTTCCCTAAGTGGAGGATACTTCCCCTTATTGAATCTCATGCTGTTGCTTTCAGCCCAGCATTCAAGTTTATCAAGATCGCCCTGAATCTTCATTCTCTCCTCTGGGGTGTTTACTATTCCATATTGCATGGTCTGCAAATCTGATTATCTTTGTTTGTACTTACTCATCTAAATCATTAATAAAGATGTTGAAGAGCACTGGAGCTAGGACTGAACCCTGTGCCACCCCACTAGTTATCTCCCTCCACTTTGAGAAGATGCCATTGATGAGCACTCTTTGTGCCCAATTTAGCAGCCAATTTTGGATCTAATAGTTTTTCTATCAAGTCCACTTTTTGCTAATTTGTTTATTGGAATGTCATGGAGTGCTCTGTTGAAAGCTTTTCTAAAGTCAAGGTAGATTATGTCCACAATGGTCCCTCTGTCCATTTGGGGAGTTACCCAGTCAAAAAATGAGATTAAATTAGTCTAACAGGATTTATTTTTTGATAAGTCCATGTTGGCTTTTATTAATCACTGCATTTTCTTCGAGGTGCCTGCAGACTGATTTTTTAGCAATTTGCCTCAGAATTTTTCCAGGGATTGATGTCAGAGTAACTGGTCTGTACTTCCCAGCTTCATCTTTTTTCCCGTTTTTGAAGATGAGGACAATGTTAGTCCTCCTCCAGTCATCTGGCACTTCTCCAGTTTTCCATGATTTTTCAAAGATAATAGACAGTGGTTCCGAGAGTTCTTCTGCTAGCTCTTTTATGACTCTGGGATGCAGTTCATCTGGCCCTGGGGATTTGAGCATATTTATTCCATCTAGATATTCCTTTGTTTGTCAATCTTGGGCTGCCATCTCTCACTTTCTGCTTGTACTTCTTGGCTGTAGATTTTCTCATGGGAGAAGACGGAGGCGAAGTAGGAATTGAGCATCTCTGCGTTTTCCGTGTTGTCTGTTATCACTTTGACATTAATTTTAGTTCCTAGACACCTTTCTCTTTCACATGTCCTTTGTTTTGGATGTATCTAAAGAAGGCTTTCTTGTTGTTCTTAGCATCTCTTGCTATTCTCAGTTCATTTCCTGCTCTAGCATTCCTGGCGCTGTCCCCGCGATTCTTTGCTGTTTGTGCTCTTTGTGGCCCTGCCTCGCTTCTACCTGCTTTACTTGTTTGTTTTTTTCCTTTCAGGTTGTCTCTTAACTTTTTGTGGAGCCATGTGGGCTTCCTCTGTTGGCCTTCTGTTGTCTTCCTCTGTTATCAAGAAACCATTATAGGATTATCTTCTTGTGGCATTTGAGAAAACAGATATTCTAGAAAGAATTTAAATCACCATCTACCTAACAGAAGAGAGGGAGGAGCAAAATATGTGAACTGTACATCCTCTTTGATGTAAGAAATATTTGAGACTGAAATACAGAGTGCATTTTTTAAAACAGTTTAAGGGCATGGGTATGGCTGGCCGAGGAATACCAAGAGCCATTTTCTGTCTACAGATGAATAGGATTGCACTACATGGACAATTCACAGTAGTGCCAGGAACTTGCAGCTTTTGTTTATTGTTTATACTACACAATTGTGCATATGCCTTACAGAGTTAGGGTATCTTTACACTAGGCATTTATTGTGCACTCGTGATCCCTCACTAAGGAATGTTCGATGGGCCTTTTCATGATGTTATTGTCTTTCAGGGCCTCTTCCAAGTTTTCCAGCCTTTTTGGTGGATTTTTTAGAGCAAGGAAAATCTGGTATTAAATAAATGAACTGGTGCAAAAGCCTTGCGAAAAGATAAAAATCTGCTGGATGGCAGTTATATCACACTACCACCGTACACTTAGTTAAGATAATTTATGGAAAGGCAGAAAAAGTTCTGTGTGAAGGATGCATTTTTCTTCTGCAACAAAACCAGAAGAAGCCTCTGTACAACAGCAAGTTAAACCCCTTGTAGAGAAACCCTACAGCAGCAGAGACAGGTCCCTTCTCTTCTTGCTTACAGACTGGAATAGACAGGGAACAAATGAGGGAGGGAGGAAGCGATGAATGGTTGAGGGAGCTGGGAAGACTGCTGCTAAATATTCTTAAAACCAGGCCAGAAGGAAGAGTTGGGCTTTGGGACGGGATCTGGAGAAAGAGAGATGACACTGTTTCTGTGTTCTAGAGTCCTGCAGATTCCACAGGATGTGGGCACCCTGGACAGTTAACACACTTTTCACAAAATAAATCTGTTGTCTCCCTTCCTATGGCAGGGACATGTACTTGACACACTGTCCTTGACTGTCCAGGCAGCTCTTACAAATTAGCAGTGTGATATTTCTACCCACTACCCCCAAATAGGCCACAAGAAGCAGGAGCTTCAGCTCATTTCCTTTATCATCCGGCCTCTCTTTAGAGATGAAGGAACAAAGGGATTCCTTCCTGAATCCTTTCTAAGTGTTTCCCAGGTTTAGCTTTCATCTTGTTCTATTAGTTTAATAAATATCAGCACTGTTTGTAACAGCAGCATAGATCAGCACAGTAAAGCTCTTTCTCTGCCTCCAGCATTAGTTCTGTAAACCCTTTCCCTGCCACGGTCAAAACAGCAATGAAGAGGAATTTGTTGCTATAATCTTGTTTTGATTTTAGCTTTTTATGTGTGGAGCACATTGCTGTATTTGCCAAACCAAGAGAACAGAAAGTGTGACATCATCTGCTCTTTGAATATTCCTACACCATCCTTAATGGAGGAGTCTACTTTGCTAGTATATTCACCTTCAAAGAGAATGGAATGCAGATTGCCATTTTCTCTGCATCAGAAAACCCACTTTTTAAAAAATCGATGCCAACCAGCTGTTCTTTCATTTTTGTGTTGATTTCATTTAATGGCAGTGTCATTTTAGAGCTTGGATGTATGAAATGTGCTGAGCAAAAGGTTGACCTGGTAACTTCCATGTATCCCACATTTTCCCCTAAGCAGTGCTTGCAGAGGCAAGAGAGAGGGCTGGCCTTTGTTGGATTCCAAGGATCAGAGATCAAGAAAGTGCTCCTGTCATCCCATCCTCCTCCACCACCTTTCCCTGCTACCTTCTAGGAAGATTTAAATAATGTCAGAGGACTTTTCCTGGAAAGCTCTGGAAGGCAACCCCAGCTTTCCAGTTTCCCACACAGCACTAAGGGGACTTCTGCCTACCATGGTATAAGTAAGGTCGGTCCAGTACAGACCTTATGGCTGATTTAGAGTGATCTGTATAGCGAACACAGCAAAGTGTGCATCCCTTTAGTGATGTTGAACATTCCTGGTTCACTTCCAATAAATTTCAGCTCAGCTATGAGTGACCTGCCATAAAGAGTGGGGGTTGCTAAGCTATCCGTCTCTTTCTTGATTCCAGGATTGTTCTAATGGATGATGCAGTGGACTGCTTGATGTCTTTTTCAGACTTCCTGTTTGCCTTCCAGATCCAGTTTTACTACTCAGGTGAGCCCTTCCCACTTTACCTTCTTTTCTAACTACATAGTATCAACAGATAAACCTGATACAAAAGAACTGGGAACAACCTAGCCCAGAAGGTCTTTCCATACAACATGTATTTATGCATTTATTCATTCATCCATTTCATACTTTAAAATACTTTTATCCAGCTCCTCATCAAAACAAAAACAAAAAAGCCTTTCAGAGCTGCTTAAGTGCAATCAGTCCAACACAATGTTCCTTACCTGCATTCTTACAGTATAAAAATAAATGACGAACGTAAGGATAAAGAGAAGTGGGGGGAGGGGAAGAGCTGAAATGTAATCACTCTTTCAGCAGGGCTGGTGGAATGGCTCTGCTTTCCCTTTCATCTCCTTCTGGACAGCCTGCTGGAAAGGCTGCGGGTGCTGAGAGATGAGTGGGGAGGAGCATTCAACAGGGCTTGCGCACAGTATGGGTCCTTTTGACAGAACTGCATGGAAAGATGACTCCTGCTAGAGGGGCAGGCAACCTTTTCAGGCCCATGTGCACATGCAGCAACTTTTCTCAGGGTCACAACCATATTTTACATTTCAACACATTTTCTTGAGCTTCCCATTGTAGGAATCCTACCTTCTCTGCCCACCAACTTCTGTCACTTGCCTGCTACAGTTTCGACCCCAACTCAACTGCTACCTCTCCTATTAGCTACCCACCACCATCTCATGCCATTAAGTTGCCTGTGGCCACCCCTCCCACCCACTAGCCAACCATTTCTCCTCCTTCTGCTACTTCTGAGACACCTCAACAGAGGAAAAGCAGGAAGTTGGCTTCCTGACTGCAGAGGTGAGGGAAACCTGCTGCAAGCAGGTGGCTAAAGTGGCAGCTGCAGTGGTAATGGATGGGCTGGGACAAGGAAGGAATCTGGTGCTGGGGTCCAGTGGACAAACTTGAAGTGTTAGTGAGTGGCCATGCAGCTGGGGGCACCAAGTTATTTTGCTCTGCCTCTTACATAGCCTAATTCAGAAGCCTGCTGCAAGCATTACTCATTACCAGTGAACATGTTGACAAGCATTTTCTCGCAGTCTGGAACCTTGATGTTGTAGGGAGGTGCTCAGCTCATTCCGCTGAACATGCAAAGATTTGACCTTTAGACCTTTCTGCTCAATGTGAGAAGGTTTGGTCTGGGGCCATATGCCTGCCCAGGGACATCAGAGACAAGGTTGGTGTGCACGACTCCACTCTTCCTACAGAAGTATGGTTGAAATTTGTGGTCCTTGATTCTTCAGGGGGCACATAAACCTGCCCAAAGCCTTTTCTAAATTTCCCACCAGATAAGTGTACACCAGTCTTTCCCAACCTGGTGCTGTCCTGATGTTTTCGACTACAAATTCCCTCTGACCCCTAGTCTGCCAGGATATACTATACAAGTGCTGGGAAGCTGCAGCCAGTGATAAATGGATTAATATGCAGTCAGCACATATGTTGTACTATACTTGGTCTGCATGCATCCTGCACAAAAGCTCTTTAGATGTATGCATTTCTTTCTGGGGAACAGCTTTGTTCCTGCTGGTAGCTCAGTGAAAAGCAAGTGCCTGGGTGAGAGGAGAGTCTGAGGGTCTGTGGTTTGCAGGTGGGTGGGGATGGGGGGTGGGATCCTACAACCTGGGGGTGGGCTTTGCTAGTGATAAGCATGCGAGTGTCTGTTCATATCATGTCTCTCTTGGGATATGGAATCAGTGTGCTAAATTGCTTGTTCTCATCTCACCCCTATAGACATGTTCCTCTGCTGCTCTCTGGTCAGGAATAGAATCCAATTACACAGTGGATAATTATCCCTCCTCAGGTCACATCTCTCTCTGTGATCATGCCATCTGTGTGAATGATGTAGAGAGCCAGTCCTGGGGACAAAGCAGAGCCAGAGGTGGAGTGAAAATGGAGGCCATTTGAAATATGCAGCATGCTGGGAAAGCTGCTCTGAATTGTTAAGCATTGGCATCTCTTTCAAAAACTAATCAGCCCTTGAATACATACAGTCCCATGGGTTCTGCATGCATGCAAAGAGTTCTGCAGATTCCTCCCACTGTGCACCATTCCCATGTTTATCCACATTCAGAAGCTTCCTAAGCTGTCTCACCAACCCTCATGCGTATAAACTGCTCAGAGTAGAATCTACATCTGTCAATGGCTGCCCAGGTCCATAAACAATCTTGTTTAAATTTAGCCTCTGGGAGTAAACAGTATGGGAGGTTTGGAGCCTGGAGAAGAGTGCTCTCAGCCAACTTTTGCCCTAATCTCCCCTTTGGGCCCCATGTTGTATTTACTTTGGAGTTGTGCTGAAGCCTACTGGGCTGCAGACTGAAGCCTGTCTTGGCTCAAGCCACCTCCCTTGGCTCATCCAGCAATTGCAAACAGCTTGCTTCTGCCTTGGGTGGTGTTTGTGACCATGGAGGTTTGTGTGCTTAAGAAGCCACTCTGATTCAGTGACCTTGATTTTCACTTCCCTTTGTAGCATCAACTTTAGAAGGAACAAGATATCTAATGGAAGCAGGGTTGACGGTGCCTCCTCAGACCAGGCAATCGTTATGTGCCTTTCTTGTTCCATCAGAGAGGCTTGTTATTAGGCTGTGGTATTCAGGAATTTGGGGGCACCTCACCACATCACAAAGCAAGTAAAATCACATTCTCACGTGTACTCTGAGCGGTCAAGAAATTTCCATGCTCTTGTCAGGGGTATGTTAAGAGTAGCAGACGGAATGGCAGTAGTTCACCCTGCAATCCCATCATGTTGTATTATTCTGCATCTCTATATATGCAAGTAACTGCGCAATCCTTTCTTTGTGTCATCCTTCCTTTCTTTTTTACAGAGTTCCTTGAAAGCGTGGCTGCCATCTATCAAGAACTCTTGACGGGTAAGAATCCAAACACTGTCATTGTGCCTACATCATCTTCTGGGCAGCACCGTTCCCGTCAAGCTCTAAGTGAATGCAGCCCACTGGATGGCGTCGAGACATCTGCATTTTATCAGTGCCTGGAGTCCCTGTGTGACAGGTCCAAGTACAGGTAAGGTCCGGGAGTAGTCGATAAGATCAAGCCTTGGTTTATCTTGGTTTATGCCTTGAAACACTGTGTAGGGCGGGGCTCCCTGAACTGCTGGCTGCAGGAATGATCTCTGCAAAGTAATTATTTTGCATGCCCAAGGATGGCAGTGTTGCAGGTTGCCCTGTCTCCTCAGCTCCCTGCTGCCCTGCTGCATCAGGAAAACACTACAAATACAGTGCACTTTTATGGGTTTCTGAACTGATGGTCCAGCTTCTCTGTGGAGTAGACATCTGCTCCTAGCAGTAAGGCTCATGGCCAGTCCAACAGGAGGGATGGAAAGGGGATCACTGAAGGCAGAGCAAAGGGCAACTGCTTTTCTATACAAGCCCTGCAAACTTCATTGCACAAGACTTTCCCAGCTCAGCTCAACCCACCAATTCCTTCTCCCAGAAAAAGTCTACAGAATAACAACATAGAGAGCCATCTGTGGCAGTGAGTTTATTAAAACAGGAGGGGAGTTGGGAGACTGGGATGCAGAAAAGAAAAGAGAAAGGGCACATTGATAGCAGCAATAATACATAGCATAAAGAATTTCTAACACATCTGAACACACGTCCCAGCCCTAAGCACCTGGACTTTTTGATGCCGCACTGGAATAAAACAATAAAGCTAAGCCTACTCTTTGAGTTACCAAACACAGGTCTCCTCACTACAAAGTTTTCAGTAGTTGATCCAGGAATAACACCTCGTCCCAGATCAGGGTCCAGCAGGAGACAAAGACCTTCCAAAGTCAGGGGTTTTAGCCCTTTTCTCTGGTGGTGGAGTGATGCCAGGCAGCCTCTCTGAGGGGCCCCGTTCTGCTTCACTCTCCCAGCCACCAGCAGTTCTCAACATCACTGTCCAAGGGAATAGTTCTAGCCAGATGTCCTTGGAGCCATCTTTTGTGATAAGAAGAGCACAAATCACTCCCTCTCCCTGACAGTTGAAGTGCCTCCTAAGCCAACCAATTTCTTGGTTAACCCTTCCCAACCTCCCAAGACCTCTGCTACAGTGTCCACTTGTTGAAAGCAAAGGGGATGGTGGAAAAAGAAACCCATTTCATATACAGGCAAACTGAAGTAATGGGCAATTAGAGTCAGTGACTGCAAGGGTGAGAAATGGGGTTATTTTTAGAAGTGTGGCCCAGCAAGCATTACACAAATAGAACTTGGTTAGGATGCTTTGATGCATTACTTTGTTCCACCAAAAAGAAGGAAAGGGTTTTTTAAAATCCATATGTACATCTTGTGACTGAGATGCATTATGTAGCAAACTAGATTGCAGGCACGATCTTCAGTGAGATTTATTGGTTAAGCAAAGGAAAATGAAGGACCAAACAAGGCGCAAATTTGCCTGTTCTCCATACCTTTGCTCCCTGCTGTGGATTTATCCAAAGAAAGCAGTTTTTAGGAGAGCTGAAAGGGAAGCAGTAAGAGGTGAAAACTGTTTCTCACAAATACAGATATGTTTACATGGAAGTAAGTCCCACTGAGTTTTATGTCTGAGTAGACCTACACAGGATCATTCTACATATTCCAACATTTAAAAGCATGTGGAGCACTTGGCAGAGACTAATAATACATGATAATGTATATTCTGTTACAGTAATAATAATATTAATATGTCATCTTAAGTTACTGCAGTGCCATAAATTAAAAAGGATTTATATTCAGGATAGAATCCACCTTCACCAAGAAGTCTGTGTGCATGCACACATACATATCAATGTGCAAATCACACATACACACACCCCAAATCCAAATATATTTGTATACAACATGGTAGTATAGGGTTAAATAAATGCCTCTAATGAGTATTTCTTCAATTACAACATCATGGGAATATTTTTAAATTAATTACTTAGACTTTGGTGGGAACTGATTTAAATATGCCAAAGGAAATGATCCACCACTGTAGAAAAACGATCCCCTAGCCACTCAGGAATGAACGGAGAGATCAGCAGTCACCAGCAGCAAGAAATTGGGTGGAGGGGACAGGACAGTAAGATCATACCAGGGTGAAGATGAAAATGATATTCTTGAAAATGTCTGCTTTGATCCCCCCACACACCCACCCATGGCAGAGCTCAGCTGCTCAGTTCATCATGAGAGGGAGCCAGGAGCACGTGCTGCAGCCAGACTCACACAGCGCCTTCTCCAGCTGGCCAGCAGGCAAAGGGTGTTTGAGCCAGCCCAGTCCAGGGTAGCAGTTCTGCTGTCTGGGGGCACATCTCCTCTGTTGCCCTTCTGGCCCACTCCATCTTGGAGAGGGCAGCACTGCATTTGATTGTCTGCCTAGCAGAGCTCCTTTAAGTAAAGCACGCCCTTTTCCTTTTTGTAAACTTGCTTGCTTGTGCGCAGTTGCCAAAATGATGCTGCTTCTGCCACATAGGATCACTTTCTAGTCCAGGCAGTAAGTGTCCAGTAGCCACAGTGATCATCTAGCATGGGAGGAGAGCACAGCCGGGTAGCTTGGACAGGGCACAAGGAGAGAGAGAGAAGGTGGCAGAGAAGGGAGGCAGCTCAGTGCCCTTGTCATGCCCATTGGGGAGCCCACCCCTCAACTTTTAGGCAGCTTACCCTGCAGCAGTGAGGATATTTTGAGCTCCAGCTTCCTAGAGATGCACAGCCAGATGCACTTAAATTAATTTAATTTGTTGATGCCGCTCAGATGAGGCACTTGAAAAGTAACTCTTTCAACTTGGTTAAAATGCACCCCACTTAGGATATAATTTATGCTGAAAGTAGAAAAGACATGGATCAGAGGGGTCAGGGATGGCTGGAGATGAAATAAGAAAGAAACAATATGGAGAATTTCTGAAGATGATAAAAGAATGAATGCCTTTTACTGTTCAAAATATATTAAGGCACAGATGAAAGTCACTTGGTGACTTTGGCTAGTCACAGGCTCTCAAACTAACTTACCTCACAGGGCTGTTGTTGTGAGGATAAAGGTGGAGTGGAGGAGGACTATGTAAGCCACCCTTGGTTCCTCACAAGAAGTAAAAAGGTGGGTTATAAATGCAGTGTAATAATAACTGTACTCTCTTAGTCCAACACTGTCATTTGTGTAATGGAACCATCTTGCTAGAAATGGTCAGGTTTGCTAACAGTCCCTTTAAGTATCCCTCTGTGCTTCATTGTATTCCACATCACATTTCTGCACAAACATGAATGAACAGACTAAACGTGGTGGTCACAGTCTGCATCAGGACTCTGCCCGGTGCTCATTCCCAGTGCCAGGACTAACCTTGTGCCATTTTAAAGGGGAGGGTGCCCCTGAGTGCCAGCTGGATGCAGCTTCCCGCCACATCAGAGGCACAGTCTGTTCACACCTCTCCTGGGGTAGGAGAGGGGACCCCAGCATTTTTGGGCTCGCACGCATATTTGCAAATGTTAGAAGCATTGTGGCACCATCATAAAATGGCTGTGGTGGAGTGTGTGGGTGGTAGTAACAAAATGGCTGCCAAGGGATGTGACCACTCATGAAACGTTGGGAGTGCGCTTCCTCTCTGTGTGTATTTTCTTGCACCCACAGAGAGAAACCACAGGCGGAGGCAGCAGAAGCAGAGGCACACACAGCAAGAAGGGAGTACGCAGGGACAGAAGCACACGGGGGGGGGGGGGGGGACATAGTGACATACACAGAAAATGAGTCAGAGAAAACACTTGGAGAACAAGAGAGAGCAAGCATGACTAAGAGAAAACAAACAGAAATAGAGATCATGGGTGTGCACACGCAAAGAATTTTATCCCATGCACAAGTTGCTGGGATGGCTTCTTAATAGGCTTGAATGGGGGTGGTGAAGCCGCACTGCCAAAGCCAGCCTCCATCTGCTCCCGTGTCTTCAGGATGAACAGATGTTGCCCCATGGGCCTCAGTTATGGGCCGGGGAGCCCTTCCACCAGCCATTTTCAGTAGTGCAGCATCTTCACCCTCTCCTATGCACATCAATGGAGAAAAGTGGAGGAAGGTGGTGAGGACACTGCCTTAGGAACAGCAGGAATGGCCATTTCCAAACCTGCAAGTATGGCTTCCAGAGAGGACTGCACCCTCAAACCTCTCGTTTGATATATAAAACAGTGCTCTCCCCACTGGAGTCCAGGGTAGCCTGCTGCTCAATAAACCATGGGAGGGTTTTAAGAAGAAATTATTCTCATTTGGGGTCTGTCCTGAGGCTTTCAAATATGCAGTGAAAGCAGCAAACTATATAGGCAATGCAGGGTCCCTTCCTGCACTTTTCCTTTTAAGTTGCCAGCGTTCTTCCAGTAATTATTCCCATGACAGCATAGCTTGAGGGATAAATCCTAATGCTAGATTGACTTCTGAAAAGGGCACAATACCTGCAAAGAATCTGGGAGTAGCTTGGCAGTGCCAAAAGTTTTCCTCCTCAAAATTCTAACCCATCTCACGTGGCTTCCTAAGTACAGGATTGCTAGTAGGACCCCATGGATGCCATAATATTACAGAGTGGGAAGTGGCCCTCAAGCTTAGAGTAATCCAAGGCACCTGCCCATCCAGAAGCTTCAAGGGAGATAATATACTGGAACCGATGCTGTGCTATTGTTCCTTTGCTCCTTGTATTTTCCTAGCTGCCCACCATCTGCGGTTGTCAAGGAGGTTCTGAGCAGTGTACAAAGACTGACCTTCTATGGATTTTTGATGGCTCTTGCAAAGCATCATGGGATCAACAGAGCCCTTGGTAAATACTTTTTTTTCCTGATTATTTGATGTAGGGAAGTCAGTAGTAGGTTTCAAGCAGCCATCAAGAAATATGCTTTTGTCAGGACTGCAATTCAGGGGTTTTACAGAAAGTTGCCTTTGGAGCAAAGAATCATAGATGGCTTAGGAGCAAAACCAAGCCACTTGTCGCAGGGCAGTACAAAAAATCACTTCTAAAACTTGTCTTCATTCCTCCTGGTTGCCTGAAGCAGGGGTGTGGAGAAAGTAGTTTTCCAGATGTTTTGGACTTCAACTCCCAGCATTCCTGGCCATCAGCCATGCTGGCAGTGCTTCTGACCCAAAGAACATTTTTAGGTGTGTGAAGGTGACATATGCCTTAGGAAACATGGTTCTTATCCAGGTCCTCTTGTTATACAGCTGTGATTGGGTGCAGCTCTCTGAGGAATACAGGCTTGATGTTTTATTGTTCCCAGGTCTATTCACTGAGATCCCAAATGGGGAGAAAAGCTGTTCCTGGGACAAACACTGAGCAATGTCCCAGAAGACAGACCTATGGTAGGAGCAGTTTGGAACCGCCCTCACTTCATGTAGTTCATCCAGATATACTTATCCCTCTTCTGGGCAAGCTCGGGCTAGTGGAAAATTTGAACAAGTTTGCAGAAGCTGTGGTGCTAAATTAATTGATTGATTTCCTATACCGTCAGATGAAATGAAAGAGAAAAGAAAGATTTCCTATGATGTCACCAAAAGATATCCCCCTCCTCCAGTCACCATTTTAAAAAGTGGTTTCTTTTATTTTAATCAGTAAAGCAATGTTGGCATTCAGATTATATAACCCACACTCAAGGACTGAGTATGGGTTGTTGTTGAACTGTGGATTGTCAGGTTGTTGGAACTATGATTAAGCTTGCACAACCCCTAGGTCATAACCCAACAACAAACCATGCAATCTCTTTACCAGTTGTTTTTGGTTCATGGCTTGTTAGTACAACTAGATTCAGATAGCACAATAACCCATGGCACAACAACAGCCCATGAGTCAGCAAACCACAACCCACATGTTACCCATGATTGGTTGTGCATTGCACAAAACAAGATTGATTGCCACAGGGTGGCTTGCTTGAGGGCAACAAGCCCCTCTGACAACCTATGGATGGTTTTAAGGAATGAGTTGTCACATCATCTGAATCCAGATGGTTCCTGGGAATCAGCTACTGAGCTACTTGGCGCGTATAGCAAAAGTCCTCTGTCCCTCTTGCCAAGCTTGTCTGGGTGCTTAGTAGCCAACTTAGCAGCTGTGGTTTTTGCTATTTTCATTCTGGCGGCCACTCATAACTCCTTCAAGGTGCCTGATTAGCACCTTGTAGAGACTGTCACTGAGTGGGAAACAGATTTTAAAATTGTTTTGTGCACATAATGTGACCAAACTTTTCATTTCCTTCTATTTCATTTTTAGCTGCAACTGTGTAAGAGTTGCACGGGTGTAGGAATTAGGATCCCTAGTGGGGCAGTGGGGCATTGTTGGCAGTGGGACTGGGGTCAAAGTGCAGCAGGTACCAGCCCTAGACCTTGTCTTACAGAGGGTCCAAATAGGCTTTTTTCTTCCCCTTGCTTTCTGCTGACAGCTGTCAAAAGGTGAGATGCCAAGGGAAAGCAAAGGGCGAGAGATCCAGAGCTGGGAAGTTGGCTGTCCCCTAGGTGAGCTGGTTGCTGCTTTACCCAAGGGCGTGCTGTCACACAAACCGGCACTGCTGCTCTCTCCCTCACCATATCCCTGCCTTGACCAAACAGTTCAGCTGCTGCTGGAAGTATGTTTATTCTGCAGCAGCAGCATGAAGATTGTGTATCAAAGGGATAGGCATGCATGCTTGCAATCCCCTCTGCGTATCACTTAGGGGACAGGCACTCAATGGGGCAGAGGACGTCTGGATGGCACCCAGCTGGGCCTTTCTTCCTGGCTGTGCCTAATCCACTTTCAGCAAGGTGCGGAGCAAACAGATGGGCTGAGAAAGCCCTGCCTGCTGCCGCCATTGTGCCCTGTGCAAAGTGTGGGTTTTCCCTTCCATTAAGGCAGGCCTGTCCTCTGGCCCCCTGCCAGCCTTCTGTGGAGGCCTCTCGCAGGGAGGGGCAGCAGCCGCAAGTCTAACAGGTGCTGTCGTCTTGGCAAGCAGAGTTGGATTCATCTCCTGGTGCCTTTTCATCTTCCCTGCACACAGGACAATTTGAAACAGCTTTGGTCTCCAAGGGAGCACAGCCTCCCTGAAGCCCTGCAGCGAGGGCAGTTCCAGGTGAGCGCTTCAGAGAGGGAAGATGCTTTCAGGCAGAGGCCTGTGCTGCTCCTAGCCTTGCAGAGTCCTTGAAAAGGAGGAGAGCCAGGGATTAGAGCTGGGTTGATGAGTTTGTCAGGCAGATTGCAACGCCCAGCCGAACTCCTGACTCAGTATGGATGTGCCAGTCCTCTGCATATTGTTAACCAGTCCTCCTAAGAGCGTGGAACACCCCCAAGACTTTTCTCCACATTCTGCAAGGACTGGAATGAGATCAGGATTTGGCAGTGGAAAGCAGGTGGCAGGCACCGAAGATTTCTTGCTGCTTTGGAGTGCCTCGAGCACAGTGCCAGGGCATGAGAACATTCCATTACAGGGATACAAGGAAAAGACCAACTAGGAACCTGGTTTGCTGCGTGGTAGTGGGGGATCTTAACTGTAAAGTGTGGACTTCACATGCCTGGGATGAGACCAGAACCTTAGCTCAAGCTTACTTTCCTTTCAGGGCACAGGTTCCATTAGCTGGAGGTAGTGATTGAGAGAAGAGACACTCCCTTCCAGTTGTAACCTTATGTTTTAGTCATGGAAAGAGGTGCTCCTGTGATCAAGGGACTGTGCTGCTGGCCCCATCTCTGAAGCCATGTAGCTGACCAAGCTACACTGCTGATATCAGTGCATTGGATGTGGACTTCTGTAAGGGGGAATCTGTGCCCAAAGATTGCTACCCGCATAGGCTTCCCTAGATCTGAAAGCCTGTTCTTAATCATGTAGTGCTATGCAAGCATAGACTTTTCTCCCTACGGACATTGTCACCTTAACACTTAGATGGCGGAAGTGGCACAACTGCTCCAATCTGTTGCTCAGAGTTGAACTACACGTCCATCTGGAAATTTGTGCTTGCATGCCGGGCAAACCCAGTGGCCTATTCCTTGGCTGCAAAGCAGTCAAAAGAGCATTCAGTGAGGAATGAAGCACTGGGGGACAGAGTGCTAACCCCCATCTGCTACCCACCCTCATACAAAGGAAAGCATCTCTTGTATTTGCCCTCTTGCAGGCACATATTTAGAACATGTGGGAGGGTGGAGGAGAACTAAAGTACTCTGTTCCCCTGCTGCTTCTCTACTCAACATTTTCCTGCCAATACTGCCAAGGGAAGGACCATTAAGATTTTATTCATTGTGATTGCGTGATTCGTGTTGACACACTGTAAAAGACAGCAGGAGAGGCCAAGGGAAAGCAAGAGACTGAGGCTAGAGGGACATGGAAAGGCCTGTCAACAAAAGAGCCTTGGAACAGCATAGGTGAGCAAAAGGCTCTGAGCAGGAGACACTAGAGGAATAGTGGTACAGCCTGCAAAGTCCTGAAGGCTGCTTGAGAAGCACAGAGGAGCCCAAACAGGAGAGGGCAAGGTTGACAGAATTACCTTTGAAGATTAATATGAGTAAGGGTGGGAGTTATATTGTGTATGGTTCAACAAGTGACAGTATCAGATAAAAATGGATGGGGAACCTCCCTAGGCAGATGGTATTCCAGGAAGAAGCAGGGAGGCAGTACTTTAGTATTCTCCCCATGGCTCTAAACATGGTCAGTCCTCAAGGGAGCAAAAGAAAAGATAGCTAATGTCGTATTTCTTGGTTAGAGGGAGAAACCACAGCCAGTTGTCCTTATTTTTTATAAATATTTAGGCTCTTTGCTCCTGAAACAGTTCTGTGCTGGTCTAGTCTGTCTAAGTGGAGGCCAAAATGGTACTTTATAGAATTTGAAGCATGTGACTGGAAGAAAGTTCCTACATGAATTACGCTTAAAGATCAACTATGCAGGAATGCTTTGCATAGTATAAAAGTCCTATTTCCCTTTCCTGCCAACACCAACCTTCTGTGTAGGAACTTCTCTAATTTCTCTACAGAAGTTTTAATATATAACAGCCCTCCACATGTGTGAATACTTTTCAGAGAAATAGCCATGCAGGACTACCAACAAGAACAAGACTGCAGTCGTATGGCTCCTGGCCAGAAGAGTGTCAGGAGCCCTAAAATTGTTTGGAACTTCCCTTGCAGAGTATATGGAGAGATCTGTCCTGGAAGGCAGAAAGGCACCCCAGCCCTGCAAAAACATCTGCATCCTTTTCTGCTCCAATATTAGGAGAAGTAAAAGGATACAGAGCAAGAATATGGAGGCTTCAAAGTCCAAGGCATCTCTAAACATGTACTCAGTGTACAGGTCTGTGGGTGTAATGTTATCAGCTCCAGAGCTGGCATAAATGTCTTCCTTCAGCTGATTGTAATGAGAAGGAAATAAGTGATTAAAATATGAATAGGGAGAAAGGCACAAGAAAGCTACTCTTTCACTCTGCTGACATGAGCACAGAAAGGTTTTGAGTGTGATGGTTTGTTGACCTTCAGAGCAACTGCCTGTGCTTCATAGGACTGTAGGGCCAAGAAACTTATGTCATCTTTAAAAACACAACAGATTGATTATGGTAAAATAACTTTTGTGGACTAGAGTTCTGCTCATCAATTATATCAAGAGTGGGCAACTTGTGGCCTCTTCATGCTTCAGGTACAATCTACCATCTGTCACCATTGGCTGTATTTACCAGGCTGTATTTGGTGAGAATTATATGACCAAACATCTGCAGAACCAGAAGTTGCACAACCAAGTTATATGAATTAGCATCCTCTGTTGACAGACAGCTGCATACACATAGATTTGAGGGTGCAAAATGTGAACTAGATGGTTAAGTGGCAGCATG